CTCTCTCTCTCTCTCTCTCTACTCTCTCTCTCTCTCTCTCTCTCTCTCTCTCTCTCTCTCTCTCTTCAATTCAATTCAATTTTATAGTGTTTGAAAAAAATCATTTTTTGTTGAACTTTGTTGAATTTTTGTGATATAAAAAAAAAAGATTTTTCACTTTTTAAGCAGAATTTTATTATTTTTCCATATATTTTTTATATTGGCGTTTCTTTAAGTTCTTGGTTTCTTATCAATTTTCCATTAGAACTTATAAAATTTCTTTAATATTTGAATGAAAAGAATATAGTTCAATATAGTTAATCTTGGATATGAAAAGTTTTAACATAATGTAGCAATTTAAATATTTACAAACAAAAGAATATACAGTTTACATATACAGTTCTAAAGTATACATTTTTTAAAAATAATTAAGCAAAGTAAATGAAAAATAGCAACTTAGATTTCTATATTATTGTGATTTCCCTTTGCTTATTGTTTTGTTATAATTCAGTAGCACATATATAAAAATAGAAAATATTTAATTAGGTATAGTAAAAGAACATTCTTCAAATAATTAAAAAATATATTTCCCGCCAATTTGATATACTCTTTCTCTCATCTGAGAGTGAAATATCGATTTGTGACGTCATTGACACACCCGTCCGCCAACCAATAGAATTTATCATGGACAAATAATATAGTAGAATATGCGATAGCATATTGTATGTATTGCGTACATAGGTTAATACACGTGGCAAAATGTATTAAAAGTTCGGATTCATATTATTTTTTAAATTTATTTACAACTTATCGCATAATATGAGTATCATAAATTTTGAATGAAAGTGGAATTCATTATTGCATTTGTAGAATATACAAGTATCCGATAATTTCTAATGTATTCACACATGCACATACACATACACATACACACACACACGCACACGCCACACACACACACACACACACACACACTTATTTACATATACAAGGTTACATCAAATTATGTTATTCATTTTGAAATCCATTATAAAATTTGAGTATATTTCATCAAAATAAATATAGAATTAAAAAGATAAAAGAAAGCATTAATGGTATCTGTTGCACCTGTGCTCAATGGTCAAAGTTTTTCTCCATAATACTTATTTATATTCTCGTTTACGTAGCTAACGAACAAGTATGCATGATCAATTGCTTTTTAAAATACTCGCAAAAAACGAAGAAAACAATCATATCATGAAACGTCTTGGTATTAACAATTGAATTATGAAATATAATAAACTGAACTCTGAACTCTGAACTTATTAAACACTATTAAAACACGTATATATTGATGCATTTCATTCTTGCTTCTAACCTCTCTAGTCTAGATACTATTTCCCACTTCGTAATATGTATACTACATGGTTTTATTTTTCCAAAAGTGATGTGATAAATCGCATTATACCAGTTAAGAAAAAAGATATTCGTTATAATTTTTATTTCTGTATAGTACTTTTTCATTAAATTGCATATTGTGCAGCTTAATTAAATCATTTATCAAATAGATAATTTCTAACATTTAATTATTATCTTCCTTCTTCCACTTAAGAAAATTTTGTTAGCTTATTGCATTATTGCATTATTGCTTATTGCATTTTATAATATCAAGAGTCGATAAATCTATCTATTTCTGTATTATTTATAAACATCATGAATGTCTGATAATTCCATATTGTACTGTTATTATCATCATTATTGACATTTAGGAAAAAAGCGGTTTTTCACATAAAATTAATCCCCTCACGCAACAACTTTTCGTGCACATAACTGTATCTTAATAAACTTGAAACTTTTATTATTTAGTCTGACAAATTTCAAAGTTGTATTCTACCGTCACACGATTCAGTTGATGTTACTTCATGATGAATAATTTGCTTAATTTGTCATTTGTGATATCGAAAATATTTTTCTTTTCATTTAATCTTTTAAGATATAAAAAGAAAATTTTAGAAAAACAATTTGAAATGGTTGGTTAGAAAAAATTTTTATAAAATCTTTTAAAAATAAACATGTAAGACATAAACATGTAAGACATATTGCACGAGTTAACATTCATCATTCATTTGATCTCTTATTATCTATATTTTTAATTTTGCTATTTATATTCATTCTTACATATTATTTCTTATTTATTTTTTAATTCTTCTTATCTAGTCTTTTATCTTGTTTTGTTAATAAAAAATATCATTCCTAATATTTCAAATTGCATAATTGAAATTTGGAAAATATATGATCATATGTATGTATAGATATTTTTTTACACACATTTCGCCATTAATTTTCGTTTGACATCCCTTTGAATGTTCTACATTTCTAATATCTTTATTTTGTAATATCTTTCTAATATCTTTATTCTCTATCTTACATTCTTAATTTTAATTTTTTTACTATAACAGTTAAAAATTATTTTTTTATTTTTTCAAGATAATTTTTTTAAAAATTCTTGAAGGAAAAATAATCTTTCTGCTTTTTAGTTCAATGACCATCTAACCTTATTTCCAGTCTTTTGATTTCTTGTTATTCGTTTTATTTCTATTTATATGTTAATTATAAGTCATTTTTGCTTTGTCATCGTTTTCCTTTTTTCTCCTCTTTTTTTTGTTCAATAATTTTTAACCTTGTTCTCTTCAATTTTGCTTTCTAACCTTGGCTCCAATTTTATTGGTAATATATCAAGCTTGCTTTGGCATTTCTAATCTTCAGTTATTCTGTTTAGTTATTCTCATTTTATATTTTAAATGTAGACAATTCAAAGAAATAATCCAATTTTGAATTAATTTAAATATTATGAGAATTATAAGAATATAAAATAACTATATAACATTATGCTGATATTTAAGACACAATTGCAATCATAAAATCTATAAAAATTATTTTATACATTCACTTTTTCAAAACGACTTTGTTTCTAATTTACTGAATTTTCCTCAAACTTCTAATCCAAGTGTATATGACAGTAGGACATACACAGAGACATAGATACACATTTTGCCCTTTAAGTTTTTTCTAATCATACACTGTTCGACACTCGCTCACCTCCTGCTTGATCAAGTCACTGCATGATAACGTGGACGTCTTCATGGTCCTCCCAACCTCACACTCGGTAACACAACCCTCGAGCAACTTCGTGGTTGCTGACGATGAGCGATCAATGATAGGAAGAAAAACGTAAATTATACGTAATGTCGATTTTTTTCGACGTATTTAATTTTGTCGATATCGTTGAGAGAAAGATTAGTTTAGCCTGATTGAGAAGTAAAGTTTCCGATCACTGATAATTATACGAGTTACAGATCATCTCTTCGAACTTTGTATCACGACTAACTGGCACAACGGCGCCTGTCGTTTATTCCCCACAAGCAGTTCTAATAGAGGGAATGGAACTTGTATTCATGGTGGGGCAAAAGGAGGCCATGGAGGAGGCAATAGTATCAGTGATGAACTTGTTTGTTCAACTCGCCCGTGTTTCTATTCGCAAAAATTTTTCATTTTTTATGAAGAAATTTAACAAAATATTTTATTTTATCAGATTATTGCATATAAAAAATTGAATTCCAAAAGATTCAATTTTATATAACATTCTCATAAAGAGTGTACATGTGTGTAAATTCAAATTTAATTATCTCCTAATTTTTATCTCATATCTTGTCTTTTTCAGTTACTTATTATTGCGTTTTATTAAAAAATAAAACGCAATAATAAGTAACTGATAATAAGTAACTTTATTATGTTTTATGTATTTCTTGTTTTTGAAGATACCATATGGAAGAATATTACGCGATATTACATTATAAACATGGACAACTTGTATAATTAATTTAATGAGATAATTAAGTATTTAATATGTTTAAAGACATGATTAAAGATTGACATGTTTAAAGATTGATTATCATTGGAATTTTTCATATATAAATATTTTTAAATATATTTTATTGCTATTCATACATGAACATTTTATTGAAAGTAAAATAAAGATGTACTTTTCAAGTTCGTAGTTTGAAGTGACTTAATTGAATAAATTATTTTCTTCTAATATATTAAAAATTTTATTTAATTAGTTTATTTTAATTATTCTAATTAAAAATTAAATAGAAAAATTAATACTAAACTTAATAATAGTATTTGATTAAATAATGTCAAATTTTTTATTTTTTTTAATAATAAATTTAAAATTTAATAATAAATTTAATAAATAGATATTTAAAAATATTAAATTAAAATTAAGATATAAAAATTAAATATTCTTTCTATTTATTACTTAATTATATGTAAATTTTTTGTTACGTTTGAATATGGCAACACGGAGGTCGTTTACTTTCTATTATAATGAGCCAGCACTGTGGCAAATTGGTTAGAGGTGGATGAGTGTTGCGCGGAGTGACAACGCTAGCGGAGAAAGGGGGATGACTTCCCCTCGCATACACTGTTAAGGAGTCTCGTCCTCTCAAGGACAAACATTTCTGGAAATGGGTATTTCCTATAATTATTATGTAAATTGATTAGCCAACTGGCATTTAATATGACTTTTGTAATAATTATTTAAATATATGATTATATAAAAATATTTCTTGTTTATTCTTCAATACATCCTTTTTATTTTTAATTTTCAACAAGATTTCTTTCTACAATAGATAACTTCATATGAATACATATATATATACAAACTTTATATATTTAACTTTATATATTTAATAAGTTCGAAAATCTTATTATCTTATTTATCATTGAATTTATTATTCGATAAAATATTGTTAAAATTAACAAAAATGCCTTAATATTTGGTTCAGATCAAAACATCATTAAAATCGAATATTATTTGTCTAATAAATTGCTTAAATATATCGCATAAATTTTTTTGTTCATAATTTAATGTGATCATTATATAAAAATTCTGTCTTTTGAATTAATCCATGAATAAGTAAATATCTATAGATAAATTTAAATTAATATTATTAAATAGTAGAGTTATGTTAATCATAATTAATTCATTAATGGAGAATTTATTATAGATTGCGTCATCGAATGATGAAATCCATCACTCGAGACGAATCTTTTAAAAAGTGATGCAACGTTTCAATAGGTGGAACATGTGGCCGCGAAAGTCGGATTACGATTGGTCAACCTTGGGGGCTCGCCCGTTCAATCCCTCGCTAGTAACGTCACCAAGTTAAATAGATATAAATATACAAATTGTTCCGTTCTTTTCAATTACGATTTTTATATTTTCTTTCAAAGGATTGTTTTCTTTCTTTTCTCTTCTTTTTCTTTAATATATCTTATATTTTGTTAATTTAATCCTAATTATTCTCTTATTCCGCATTTTTTTTCGTTATAAAAGATTATATTACATGTGTAATTTATAAATAATAAATGATGAAATTGCATAATATTATAAATATAATGTTTAATTTTATAATTATTCGAAATTCTTTTGTGTTTTGTTTCAAGTATTATGTGATTCAGTCATTAAGAATCTATGACGTGCGGTAATGCGTGTAGTGTTATATTATCTGTGATTCTACGAAAGAGATTATTTCATACTTAGACATTGATCCTTCTTATTAAACTTGATATCTCTCTGAATTGTCAATAAACATAAACCAGACTGATAAAACGATCGATAAGATAGCATTTGCTTAAGTGCCGGTTATTGATGTAATTCTGTTTCGCTATTTTTTATAAACTTATCTAATTATGGAAGCACGCATTAAATAATAAACAAGAAGAATAAATGAAAATATAGCATTTTGTTTTGCATATAAATATAAGGAATACAAAAATATTTGAAGAAAAGAAAATATTATAATTACATGCTATATTATTTGTATCATTGCCATATAATTTTTATTCATTATACAGATACTGCTTTATACAGATTTCCATTTTATAAAATTATATAAAAAACTAAATAATAAAAAATAAAAATCTTTGATAGTGACTAGAAAATAAAGCATTTTGAAATATATTTGTATATTTATAGATCACTCGAATAGAATAAGAACAGAGATTAATTAAGCAGTAAAGGAGAAAGGAAGAAGTTATAATAAAAAATTAAAATTTTGCATAAAATTAGAATTTTTTGCTGCAATAAATTTTTTAACGTTATCAATATGCGGATAATCTCACAAAACTAAACAGATAATATATTTATTTTTTTATATAATTAAAACATTTAATAAAATATAAAATAATATATATTTAATATTACTAATCTTTAATGTTTAATCAGTATAACTGA